AACAAGCCAGCGACGATACCGGCCGATTTATGCTTGAAAAACGTCGAAAATTGGGTTCAGAGCTTTGTTGTGTTGTTGTTGTTTGCTCTTATTGAAAAATCTCTTATGTGGTATATGTATATTTTATAGGGTCTCCGACTTCATGGGTGCTACAAACTTAACATATGGTATGTTCAGGGTATAACACGTGTCAACCAGGGTTGTTCACATCATACCTTATTTGGATCTGTTTGGCTGCCAACAAAATAAGTTGACTTGCCCCGACGCCGTCTGATTCGCGGTAGCTCTCTCAAAACTAGAGGTGGAATGACGATTCATTCAGTACCTTAAAATATTAGAAAATGTTTTATAGCAGGCTGATTTCAAGCCAGTGGAGAATAAAGAATCTTAAGAAGTGTAATTTCGATCTTCCACACGCTCCGAACTATCGAACTCACTCAACTGTAACAGTCGCAAAAAATTAAAGAGGAACATGAAAATAAATRTACTACATGTCCAGAGACGGTTACTAGTGTGAGTATTAAGGACACCCCTAACGTGTTATCACCCTCTTTATGACTTGTCAAAAAATTGCATCGATGTCATTGTGCAATGAAACATAAATGTCACAATGACATTTGCAATTTGATGCGGTTGTTGCAGCCACTTGATTGCGGCTTGCAACGCAATGTGCGGACGCCAACAGAGCGTAGAGATGGAGAAAGATGTGAGCAAACGGTTGTGTTGCACACCATGGTGTTAGCATTCGATTGAGTGACAGCCGCAGGATATAACACTAACGCTGTGGTCCGAGCCGTGATGCGACGGTTGCGAGGGGGATCGCCAAAGCGATTTTTATTACACATAAATAAGTGAGCATCATTCAACAATTCAATCAGTATGACAGCGAAACACGGCAACAACTACGCTTACGCATACACACACACAACAATACAAACATACAATCATGCGGCACAAAAGCAACAGCAACARMTGTGAGCTGAGGATTGCAATGGCTGTCACASCGCTGCAAATACGTCGAGCATATCAAGATGTCATCCACCGGCGTTGGTGTGTGTGTGCTTGTGCATATGTGTTGTTTGTGTGCATGTAAATGTGTGTGATTTGTGTGCGTACTTTATGCGTTTCAATAAATTCTGCCATAAATCGAGTGTGGCATGTCTCGTGTTATTAGAAGAATCGGCTAACGGTCGGGTACACTGAAGTAGAAGGTTTAGTTTTCAAGCAGCGATATCGATAGCACCACCTGCAGCAAAATAACATTGTCATCGTAGCGCAGAGAAATAATATGAACATTGAAATGCATGTATTACTTGCTGTGCAATGGTTGAGGACGAGTGCAGTTGCTAAGCTCGGTGGCAACGAACTTTGGTCGCTGGGTTACGTGAGCTCTGGAGCTGCGCGCTTGCCAACCGCATAAGAGGAGGATGGATTGGAAGACACAAATAATTATTTGAATGAATTTTGTAGAAAATATTGTGTGAAAATATAAATGTCTGTTAAGTAGCGGCTCCGGTGGATAATTATAGCACAGCATTTGTCAGCATAAATCATCGAAAAAGCAGCCAGACCTAACRTACACTCGGACCATTATCYTGTTATAGCGAAGATAMGCACTCGCCTCTGTATAAAAAAGCACGCCGGAGAGAATTCATCAGCAACCATTAGTTTTTGGAAAGGTCGTATAAACAGCTGGTACGATAAGGAGTGCCGTGTCAAAGTGGAAAGAAAGCAGAGAGCCTAACTCACAATGTTGTGAACGACCACTACTCGAGCGGGTTGACATAGATACCGAGAGTTGAAGAGRGAAGCGAGATGCATATGCAGACAAAGAAAAAACTAGGGCGAAATGMGTGAGTTTGAAGAACTTTAGAAGCTAGCCGACARRGGTAATGCCTGAAAATTCTAMAAAAGGTTGCGGCGACTAACGGAAGGTTTCAAGASCAGAAYATACTCTTGTAGTACCCAAAGTGGCGATATAGTGCCTAATGTTCAGAGCATACTAAAGTTATTGAGRGAATGGCATCCAAAGTATATCATTTGGGGATGTCGAACCAGATTTCTCAATCGATGACGATGAAATAGATATTCCATTGCCCGAGTATGATGAGGTTTTAATAGCAATTACCCGTCTGAAGAACAACAAAGCTTCAGGGGCCGATGGATTATTGGTTAACTATTCRAATACGGAGGCGAAGAACTGACAAGRAAGAAAGCATTCACGCCGATTGGAACTTAAATGTGCTCTCCCCAATMCACAAAAGSACCCCACAATCTGCKGCAATTACAATTGCAGAAGCCTCCTTAATATCGTATATAAGGATAAATATATAATAAARGATTGAAAAGAGAATCGTCAYGCACCACCTCTTMGTCGATTTCAAAGCTGCATTTGACAGCAYGAAAAGKAACTGCCTGTGTTATTTGATTTTGATATCCCCGCTAAACTAATACGACTGTGTAAACTGACGTCAGCAACAGCTAAAGCTCAATGATGATCGGGAAGAACAAATAAGGGGACTCACTATCATGTGGCTTCTTCAAGAAAATTATTCCACCTGCAGATCCGAATAGAAAAGGTATAATATTCTATAAGAGTGTACAGTTCTTGGTGTATGCCGATGATATTTATATCATTCCCCTCCGTCGGCTTTGCTTTCTCCAGACTGTATAAGAAAGCTAAGCGTTTGGTTCTGGTTGTGAACGAGGACAAGACGAAATATCTCCTGTCATCAAATAAATAGTCGTCGCACTCGCGACTTTGCTCATTCTTCACTGTTGACAGACCTAACTTGGAACAATAATATCAACATTGAAATTCAACGGAGAATCACTCTTGCCGACAGTTTTCTGCGGAAGATGTATGGTCCTTTGMGCATTGGACACGGCGAATAYCGCAGTCGATGGAAGGTCGAGCTGTACGAGATCTACGGCAGCATTRACTTAGTTCAGGGAATCAATAGACAGCGGCTGCGCTGGCAAGGTCATGTTATAAAGATGGATGAGAATACTTCAGCTTTGAAGGTTTTCGATTCAGTACCAGCCGCTACAAGCAAAGRAAGTCCTCCACTCTGTTGAAAAGACCAGATGGAGAAGGACTTGACCACACTTTGAAACTCCAATTGACGCCAAACAGAAGAAATAAGAAACAACTGGGGCTGTGGGAAACAACTCGGCTATATCCGCGTAAGCGATGTCTACGCGAATAAAAAAAAGAAGAAAATTTAACTTATCTGAATTCTTTTCCTTTCAAAAATTMTCCTATTTTTCGAATTATAACCCATTGATTAACATAGGTGAGTAGGCATCATTTAATTTAATTGATCAGAGTTTTTACAGCTTTCGAGATCGGTGTATAAGTTTGTTGTCAGGATTAGAGACGATCTAGTGGTTTGTAATTAGTTGTGAATAGGATAGATAGTTGTACCGATGTTTTTCAACTGCAAAACAGTGAAGTCATATTGAAAAATTTCAAATAATCTATAATAATTTTATATCAACAGGTAAATTATTTATTATAGTTTTTTTTTCAGTGTAACACCTCCACTCCATCATAAGTTGTATTCAAAAAAGTGATTATGTAATATTGCAGAGCTTTTGTAAGCACAATTAATGGCAACGCTTTGTAAAAGCTCAAYAAAAAGCTTGTGACTTAAGCTTTTCCAAGCGTAGCTTTAAACGACACAAGCTCAAACGCTCTCTAAACTTCTACTACACAAGCATACAACTATGTTTACACCGCAACTGCTGCTATTGCCAAATATCTGTCAAATTTATTACCATTGAGCTTGGCAAGATTTTGGAGTGGGCTTTTTTATCATGATAACTTCATGCAAAAAATGATCGAACAAGTATGTACGAGCTATAGGAATGATAAATGTGTTGAAGATACATCGAAAAATATATGAAGTAATCTATAAAAGGAGAACACCCAAATTTTGGATACATCCGTTTTCAGTATTATGTACCTGTAGACATCATGATTGGAATGCACTCCTGCTGAAAGGTACTGTAACGTAAGAATGAAACGTAATTCATAATTTTTGCAGAATGTTATTTGAGCACATTGTTAGAAAGGTAATAAAAAAAAATTATGAAAACTCCAGGTCATAAACCCTTAAAATGTAAGAGCTAATGAATTATTTTGTTTGATTGGAAACGAAGTATAATGAAGTTTGAACTAGAATACCTCGCAATAGGGTTTTAATTATCGGACCAGGAGAACTCGAATCCCATTCAGTCATGTCGTCCGAATGGATGAAAACACTCCTGCTCTGAGAGTATTCGGGAAGTAGTGAAAAGAGKAAGAGGAAGACCTCCATTCTTTTAAAAAGATCAAGTGGAGAAGGAAATGGTTACACTTGAAATCTCCAATTGGCRCCAAACAGGACAAGGCAGAATGACTGGTGCGCTGTTGTAAGCTCGGCTATAACCGCGAAGGCGGTGCCGACGCCAATAACGAAGAAACGCACGAGTTACAGTAGAGATTGTATTTAAGAAACTAACTAAACATTTCCAAAATGTTTACAGAACCAATACTAATTACATTATTAAATACATATAGGCAATATGTAGTCTCCATCGGCAAAATGGCTTGCAATTCACGCTGCTAGACATCAACTATTGCCTATCTAGATACCGTTMCGAAAAGCCAAGCATGAGTGGCAAGAAATGACGATCAAAAGCTCTGCACCACACGCTTGTTGTTGTAAAACTGAAACCAACCAAGAGCTATTGAAAGCGCTGGCGTGCTAGCGGCAAGTTCTGCTAACTATGCACTTGATTAACCAGCAGGCGCTACGCTGAAGCTATAGATTTATTTATATCTGTATGTTTGTGTGTGTGTGTGTAGATTAAGTGTTGGTAACACGCGCAACGCCAACTTTATTTACAAAACGCACTCAACACACTCTTTGCACAAAACCAGTTTGGCAATAAAAGCTTCCACTTTCAATTGSAATGAGGTAAGACATGCGATCTTTCGAATCTCAGCGCACACATTTGAGCGAAAAGGCAAGGCGAACGGTTGGGCTACGCGAAACCAAAAACGGTGTGCAAATTAAAGCAAATAAAACAAGTAACAAAATATTTAAATTAAAAAAAAATTTTAAAAAATAATAATTTGCATAATTCGGCGCTGAGTGAAGACACAAAAAACAAAATGTAGCAAAGCAACATTACAAAAAATATAAAAAGAAAAAAATAAAAATAATTGTTGTTAGGTACGAAAAAAAAACTGGTAACTTAAATTATAAAGGCGTTTTAAAAGTTTATAGATTTTTTGAAAATTATAGACAGCGAGCGTCAAGTTATCGACGCACAGTGCGCGTTAAAAGTAAACACACATTTCTATTTCTTTAGAGACTGCGGTTTGCTGCGAAATTCAACGGTGAATTATGCGTGCGACAACAAARACAATAACTAATTTGAAAAACTGCATGAAAAACGCAAAAACGAAAATACTTAATGAAGACATTTTTAATCAAAATTATATGTAAATATTGAAATCGAAAAAAGTCAACTGAAGAAGAGACAAAACGGTGATAAGAAAATTCACAGCCAAATCGCCGTTGTTTTGTTCAAGCCAGTGTGCGTGTGCGGTGTGTATATGTGTGCCATTATTACGAGCGCAAATCGTAACGCGCCCAAATCAGCTATAACAACAACAACAACAACAACAACAACAGCAACAATAATGCGATTAACTAGAGCGAGTTGCGCAAGTGATAATTGAAGCACCAAATAGAAAATAAAAGACGGTCAAAATAAATAAATAAAAATAGCAAAAACAACAATTGCGCATAAATGCTATACAGCAAACAGCAAGGGTATAAACAACAGTACAAGGCTATAAATAATCATATTTTGCCAACAGCTAGCAACAACGCGTTGTCTTTTTACAAACACGAGATCAGAAAATAATCAAAATTCGAAAATTACAACGTCAACGCTGAGCCGAAATCGCGCATACTTATCAGCAGAGARTATGCGCGGCAGCTATAACGGCCACACGCATTTAACCAGCATTGAAATATTATCAAATGCACAGCTTTTGTTGTCTTTGTAAGTCAAAATATTAATGAAAACTGAGCAAGTAAACACTTCGCACGCACACTGCYGCCACTGATAGTGAGCGCGTCCGCAGCGTTCGACGCATGCGCCTAGTCACATAGCAGCCAAAAGGCAGATATCGCCCCCCAACAAATACGACGAACGYAAATGCATTGTCATTCTTGCATTACACACACACATAACACAAATAAYTAGTTYGAAATATATACATACATATATTTCATAAATATTGGAATCGGTCATTCGAAATACACCCAACCGTCGCACGGTACCCCAGCTGATAGCATCTTCACGCCACAGTTCAGCGTTCATTTSATTGTAGGCGCATAAAGTGGGCGCATGCAAGGTCATTCGTAGCACTCCGTTACCCAAAACTGCCGCGCCGCTTGAGGCAACGAAATTGATACCAAAATAACAACAAAGAAATTGTAAGAAAACTGCACGAGGACRCCGAAAATATGGAAGACGAGAAAATGTCCGCGTTCTATTCGAGTTCGACTAAGGTAAGTCGAGTCTACATATATGTGCCTTAATCAAGCCTTTAGGTCTAGCTATAAGCAATATTCACTCTAGTTCCCCACTAGAACTCTTAAATGCACTTAACTAACAGTAGTTTTTATTTGTTTTTCTTAGCTTCTTCTTTAATGATCTTAATTTGCTAGCAATTAGATTTAGAAAATATTATACCGACCATCAAATTAATTTCGAAAACAAATGATTATATATTTGTGGGTATTTGTGATCATGTGCTGCTGCTGATAACCCCTGCTGCTAGACATGCCTACACCTTATCGCTTGTTTGGAAGTCAAATCTTGACACCTCTCATATAAAAATATTATATTCGATATGTGTATGGGTATGTGTATGTAAAGCACATGATTTATGTTGCAATATATTGTTTATATACATTATATTCAATGCATATATTTATATGGTACATATGTATGTACACATACATACATAAACACATCTGTTATAACGCTGTAGCTAAAGTGATGGAGTTAATTTGAGCCGAATGCGTCACAACTTTTTGGTGGGACGTAGGTTCAACTCCCACAATAATTCAATTAAAATGTTATTATATTTTAGAAYAATGCATTAGATTGGGTTAGATTAACTTAGGTTAAGTGGTCGATCTAAAGAGTCTTCTCACTTGGACAGCTTAGAAACGAAAGTCACCATTGGAGATCGCGACTTGGTTTCCTTCTGGTGTTAACGGATCAATTTATCTAATAAATCTACGTAGGTCAGCGATTCCGCTGTGACGAGGGCCCCAAACGCGTTCGATGCTGAAATAGCCAGCTTTTTTTCTAAGCCTGTTGTTGTTGTCGTAACGGGTACCTGATCCCCTTTAGGATGGTTAGGATTAAAGAAGATGCCATCGAGGTAATCCAACGGTAGGCCCATGCTGTTTCGAGGCGTTCGAACCATAGCTAGGATTAAAGAAGATGCCATCGAGGTAATCCAACGGTAGGCCCATGCTGTTTCGAGGCGTTCGAACCATAGGGAGAGGGGTGTCAGATGTGTAGGGCTAGCAGGGCATGCAGGCCTGGTTAGTATCATGCGGGGACTCATTGTACGCTGGACATATATTTGTTATGTCACGATAGATTTTGGATAAGTATAAATTCAACCTGCTACAATATTTAGAACGAAGCTGCGCTTCTCGCGCAACTCGAGCTCTTCGTCTGCAATGGGTGGCGAACAAATCCACTTCTCGCACATCGGTATGTGAACAGAGAAAGGCCGCCACGAGTAGCCTTTCCGACGCAGTGATCCAAATTTTCCGGAATGTAGTCGAAAGCAGAATGAACTTCAGCACATCCTTATTCGGCGCAATGTATAAACCCAGCTTCTCTGAGCCTTAGAATTCGCTTCCGTATTTCGACTGATAACTGGCAAATGACACCCGTAATGTTTTAATACAAGGCCTGAATATAAGCGAAATTGTCCGCATAAACTTTAGACATTACATATCCCCACAGGAAAAATTCAAACGGTGTAATATTGCACGATCTTGGTAGCCAATCGACCGTCCCAAAGCGTGAAATTATCTGTTCACCGAAGTGTTCTCTCAGTAAGTCCATTTTTGATGCGATGTCTTGGAAGTGCCGCCGTCTTTTAGAAACCCAATGTGCCCGAATGTCACGAACTCCAATTTCAGGCATCAAATAGTCGGTTACCATGGCATTATAATGATCGCCATTTTGATGAAATATGGACCGTCAATTCCATCAGCCCACAAACCTCACCAAACTATTGTTTTTTCCGGATGAAATAGTATTTATTGAATCTCTTCAGGTGACTCTTCGTCCCAAATGCGGCTGCTTTGCTTTTTTATATACCCTTTGAGACAGGATTTAGGGTTCTCAAGATGGTAACCAATTCTTCGAAGTTTTATTGTTTAAATATTTTAATGAACTAATAATGACATGTTAAATCTGATTTTTGGAAAATCAGGAGGAGCATGTTTTTTTTTTATCAAAAATGATCTTAGACATCAATATATTGTAGTTTTCCTTAAACAATACGAACAATACTTTTAGCTACGTATTGCATATACAAGCATATACACATTCATTCATATAGTATACAAAAATGTGTCGAATTTACTCTATTATGCGCGATGCCAATACATTCGCATTTTAGTGTTCTAAATCCACAATTACCACTTCGTGTGTAAGTGTGTTTGTGTGGAATTGTTGCAATGCTAAATCTTTTTACGCCATAATTTTATGCTGCATTTTATTGAACAAGGGAGAGTCCACTTAGGTAGAAATATGGACCACTAGCATTAGAAAGCAAAATGCATGGCATTCATTGCGCAGCAGAAAACAACAACGACAATCTGCAACTAAGTAAGCTAGTAAGTGAATCAAAAGTTAGTAGTGAATGCCTCGAATGTAGTGCAGAGCGAAAATTCTGTTAATGACAAAAAAGGTGATTGGTGGAAAATAGAAATTTATTTATTTTTAACCCGGTGATAAAAGCGCGCCACACACACACATGCGCACACGCATGCGCAACAGTAACAATATTTATGCATTTAATTACTCAAGCTTACAGATGAGCGTTTTTTGCCAGCGCCTGTCCAAGCGCATAGATCAACAGCTACCGGAATGGTGGAGCGCGAGCGGTGACTGCGGCGACTGAGCTTGGCCGATGGAAAACTATTTTTAATTATTGCCAACTTTCAATCTACTAAATACCAAAGCAACAGCGGTCAATGAAGCAAGCAAACAGACAAGCGACAAGCTTGTTCATATGTATAGGTGTGTGTGTGCGCGGTAGTACGCTGCTGCAATCTCGCATAATAATAGCGAGTGCATTAGTAAACGGGCAACAACAGAAAGATTCTAACAATTAGCCAATTCTGCGAAATGACATTTTCACTTTGCCGCTGCTGGAGCACTGTTGTTGCTATTGTTGCGCACATCTATCCAGCTCGTCTTGCTGTGCTGTACGCGGCGGCAGCTGACGTCGCGGCCGACAGAAAGCGGCTACATTCCTCATCTTCTTATAAAATGCATGTTTTTTTACGCGCACTGGTGGCGGCGCAGCACTGCCACATCGTCAATATAAGCGACACTTTGCAGACCTACTTAGGATATTCTCGTTTCTCAAAGTACAAAGGCGACAAAAACTTGAATTGGCCATTTGTGATTGATTTGCCGATGATCATCATGATTTGCTGATTTAGCGCGCCGCGCTGCACCGCCCCGCTCACTGCCGCTAAGGCTGGCGCTATTTCTGGAACTAGCTACAATTGCTGCGCTCTCCCACTCGCCACCGCGCCACTCTTCAGAGCGCTGTTGTGCGGTGTTGGCGCGCAAATACCTAAACAGTCTGACACTTGGCCGTCAATGTCAGCCATCGCACCGTTTGCCATTGTAACTAGCAAGGCGCGTACCTACCAGCAGTACACAAACATACACGCTTGCCACAGAGAATGTCATTTGCGCCGCGCTGGACCCTCAGCAACAGTTTTGCTTTTCATTTTGCCATTTTATTTATTTTCATTTTATAGCTTGTGTTACTTTTCTAATTCTATGATGTTGTTGCTATCGGCGACGGCACTGCTGGCCACAAGCAAGCACGCTGGTGTCAACTATGTCGTCCATCTGTGGACCAACTACGCATGTGCGGTGCGCGCATGTAGGCAGTCCGGCCTCAACAGCTAAAGGCCTGCTGGCAGCCAAACTACGGTTGCGGCGGCCGGCGGGCGGCAACAGCGGGTGTCTGTATTATGGGGTGAAAATCGCTCATTATGGCAGTAATAAAATAAATACTGTCCGTAATTATGAATGTGTGTACTGCGTATGTATGTGTGTATGCGTGTGTGTGAGTGTGAGTGTGTGTTCATTGCCATCAATGCGGAGAAATGTTATGGAATGCATGGCAAAAGTAACAAAAACCAAGTGGAAAATCAATGACATAAATACTTATCTGTTCTTAGGTGGCGACAGTAATATTTGAAAAACACAACAACAACAGCAGCAACAACAAAGCGTTTGTGGTATTTATTTATAGTGTTTTTCACTATTGCAGTTTTAACTGCTTACTTTTACAGCCTTCAAAGCGCTAGCGTGCGTCCACCTATTTAGAATGGCTATAAATTTTGTGGTGTACTCATTTTGATTTGTAGAAATTACTATATAGCTTGAGAGTTTGTGCGCTGTATATAGTGTTCTTAAAGTGTAATAAAACAAATTTGCAGGAAGATATTTGAAGAAAACTAATATTTATCCTCACTAGTTGCTTTAAGCTTTTGAGTAATTGATTACTGATCAACACTCTGTAATATGGGTAGCTCCTATCTTTTAGGCACTTTTTCTCTCACACTCTCGCATAAGCACCACAAAAACCGGACCGTTATTCCTTCGTAATGAGCAAAGTACGTCAGAAAATGTTGCCCCTTTTTTTTCTTATATGTTTACCCCATAGTATCAAATTTAGTCCCTTTTCGCGTGATTCTAAGCACTGAAAGTCAGAATTTTCTCGATTTTTTTTTTAGGAGTAGTTTATCTTAATAAAAAAGTAAAGTACAATTAAAGAATTTTGTGCACTTAAATAATCGGCGATATGTTTCTAAAAATGTTTAAGCATCTTGATGATGAGAAGGATAAAATTATCCCAACCCAAAAAACTAAAAAAAATACATTATAACAATATGAATACAGGTAATGACAAAAGTACTGGTTATTTACAGGGTAAGTACTTGTTAAGTACCGGCTAAGTACTGGTTACGTGTCAGTTAAGTGCTGGTTTCGAGAAAAYGGTGGCCTCCAAAAAATGGTCCTTTATTTTTGGAAAAAATTTGCACTCGAGATGGGCTTAAAACTTACACTAAGAAACTATTTGCAGCGTAAACTTAAAAATTTCAGATAATGTTATCAAATATATATATGTATGTGCATCCGATATATAAGTAACAAACCTCGATTTTTTTGAATTCCACTAGGAAATATACTGTTAAAAGATGTTTTTTCATAAGTAAAAATA